AAACAACCCCAAACAAACAAACAAAAAACAGACTATCTAATATTTCATGAGTTTAGAAACTTTAAGATTTGAGACATTTGGAGAGAGTTTCATGGCAAAAATTACAGCTTGCCATCTCTCTGACTTCATCCTTCCCTTATCTTCCTGGAGCAACAAATTCTTTCTCAACTTTATGCAGAACAGTTCTGCCTACATCCGGCTCCTTTCGGATCTCATTTTCTGTGCCAAGCACCCAATCAGGTATTTTTTTCCAAACAAATGTAATTCCCTTCCCATGAGGAATTCTGAGAAATAAAATTTTCTCATCTCATTACATGTCTATTTTTAAGGAACTTAGAAAACATGACAGTAAAAGTGTAAAACTAACCATCATGTTACAAAACTATTAACATTGGTATCTTTTGTTTCAGTTTTCAATATATTTCATAACTGTGTTTGCTCTGTACATACCTTTTTATTCTGATTTTTAAAAATGTTTTATATTCCATTATGAGACATTTCCAACATTGCCAAAATTTATTTGAAAACCTAATTTTCAATGGTTTTATAATATTTTTCAGAAAGGCTGAATCAATGTACTCAACGTTTTGCCCTATGGTTGGACAGGTTGTTTTCCTTATTTTTATTTTTATTGTTCTACATTATGTCATCATAAATATTTTGGTACATTAACCTTGATCTGCATTTTCTATTATTACATTGTGACAGGTAAGTAGATGAGAAATTAATGTTAGAGGATAAGAACATTTCAAGGCTCAAGATGCCCATTGCTGAATTGCTTCTATTGTAGAAAAGTTTCTTGAAACAAAGGAGTGGCATGATTAGATATGTAATTTTTACAGATAACTCAGGTTGAGGAATCCAGGGAGGAGATTATAACTTGAACTGAACATGACAATTGGGATCAGGAGGAAGTGGGTGTAGAGATGGGGGTGGGGGTTAGGGGTATTTCTAAAATAGAGTCAAAAGAACTTGGAATGGGTAATGAGAAACAGTGAAGAACCAGACAACCTGCCTACCTGGGAGAGGTTAGTTAGTATGTACAGAAAAAGAAGATGGTGAGGTGTGTAGATGTGTGGAAGAAGATAATTTGGCTTGAGACTTCTTTTATTTCAATTATATACTGGTTTTTAAAGGTTTTAGGTGGAATCTAACAGGAATTTGGAAATATGGTTATTGCTAGGGGATGTCTATTGTTTTGAACTGTCTGACATTTGGAACTAGTTTAGGGTTTTTTTCTCCCACTTCCCAGTCCCATGGTTTTTCTGCCCCTGACACTCCTCTGTTGATCCAAGGGTGGGCACATAATTCACCTCAGCCAATCAGAGCCAATGGAGCTGAAGTCTTGGAGTTTCCAGGGGAATTGCTGAAAAAAAGCTCTTTCTGCAGTAATCGCTGAGAGGATAAGATGGAGAACTGGAGCCGTAGGCAGCTGTTCTGTTGGTCTGGCAATGAGTCAACCCAAAGGAAAGTAGAAGTGAGTTAGTTCTGAGGACCTGGTTCTGATGGCATCACTTGAGCTGTAGGATCCAAGTGCATTGATGCTGCTTCTAGGACTTTTCAGTCCTATGAGGCATTAAAATCCCCTTTTTGTCTTAAGCTATGTTGAATGGGTTTCTGTCATGTAGAACCAAAGAAGTCCTGACTAATACAGTATTATAGATCAGAAAAAGGCTCAAGTTTTCAAGTTTCAACTATTCAAGCTAAAACTAAGAGGAATCCTATTGTGACTACACAAGTATCCTCTTTTATATTTAATGGCTGACAACTCTGTATGGAACGTCTACTGTAGTGCCATGCACTGTTTTAGGCTCTGTGCACAAAACATTAAAGGTATAGTTACAAAAATATTGTTTTATGGGCAGCTTATTAAAATATCACTACAATTCCTAAGTTGGTTGAATTAACAAGCTAGAATTAATATCATGAAATTTGGCTTTTAGGTTTTATGTACTTTGCCTCATATTTCTTTTGTAGACTTGAAGGGTAGCTAAAATCAGTAGCCAGCAAATAATTTATTTTCTTGAATTTTAGAAATATTTCAAATGTCCGTAATATAAAACTCCATACTAGGAACTCAAGTTTCATGATATAGATTACCAAAGGGTAGTTTATATTTAAAATGCCTAACAAATGCCCACCTGTTTGTGTGTAGAATTTTGGGGGTCTTTCTCCTGCATCCTTATTTGTATGACTTTCAAAGGGTACAGATGGTGGAATCTCATCTAGCCATAAAAGTTTGATTAAGCTTTCTGATGTGACATTAATAACAACAGATTACATAAAGTTGTAGCAGTAAAAACTAACAGTTTTTTTCTTCTAATATTCATGAATGTTTCATTTTTTAGCCACCTTTGTGCCTAAGCTGTCCCTTTTGGTCTTGAGTTGTCAGTAGAGGATGGCTTAATTAAGAATGTTTTTGCTTCACACTCCACCCTTGGGTCAATAAAAATCGTAATGGAAAATATGATAATAGAAAAATAAATTATTTAAACCTGATAATAATATGAATACTTAAATATGTATAATGGGATCCAGAAGACATTGTACTGAAAAACCTGAAAGATAGGAAAATTTATTCTTCACTGTCTTACATCTCATAAAAATTACATGTAACTAGCAATTAATGTACCACAATTGTATAGCAGCAAATCCTTCATTTCTTCTAACTTCACTGCTTAAATTCAAATAATCAACAATTTCTTTTTATCACCAGGTGTTTTCAAGGAACTCACTAGTGAGTTAGCAAACATATTCTTATTAAAAAACAAACAAACAAACAACAACAAAAAGCAAATATAGGCGACCAAGAGTAGTATGTGCCTTTGTCCAGGACACCCTACACAGGCGGTTTTTAAATGGCTTCAGAGCCGTTTCTCAGGTCTGAGTTCTTTTTTTCTTTCCAGCAGGTCCCAGCAACCTAATCTGTGTTCCTCTTCTCCTTCTGCTCAGATTCTTGTTACCCTGAGCCAAAAACCAGCTGTAGAGCGGGGCTCATTTCCCCCAATCTTCCCCACCACCCTCTTCTTGGCTACCTGGAAATTAGAACAAGGGCGCTTTTCATTACAAGAGTTTTATAGCAAATCAGCCTGGGAATAGCAAAAATAATCAACTTGAGGATGTCTGTCTGAAAGCTTGGAAATCTTACGAAGTTCTTAGGTTTTCCTGCATCATAGTTCCTCACTACCCTATTAGATGATAACTGTAAACTACAGTGGATTTGATTTCTACATTCAGCTTCCCTAGCAGTGTTCACCAAATCTACTCACTTCTTTAGTTCACTTTTCATGACATTTATGCAGATCACTTCCTCTGAGATGGCCCGTCTTCCCGGCATGTGGACTAGCAGTCATATCCAAAACTGAAAATGTATCCTCTTGTCTCTAGTTGGTAATTTGTATCTTCTACGAAGTAGACACTGGGTAACATCCATTCCAAGGTATGGGAACCATATAGGAATCATCACCTTTGAGCAGTCATGTTTCTTGAAAGAATGCTAGTTTATTCTAGCCTTTGTCAGATTTCCAAGTTTTGGTATTTTCCAGGGAAACCAAAACAGTGACTTTTTAGTCATAGAGGATTCATATTAGTATTTGATTAGTATTTCTTGTTGTACACCTTGTGGTTTACTTAAAAACCTCTTAAAATACGGATTTCAAATTATTTTTACAGGTATTGGTAAACCTTGGCAGTATGTCTGTGAGAAAGGGGGTATTTAGAAAACACAGTAGCAGGGGAATTGACGTGGCCAGAAATTCACTGCTCCCAGTATTTTTATTACTGGTGCATTCCCCAGGATCACAATATTTTAGCCATCTTATTTCACCATCACAAAAATGCAAAAGTTTCAAGTTCATTGGTGTTCAAAACAGTAATTGAAAACATTTAGGTACCAATGCTATTTATTAAGAAATCAGATCTGTCATGTCATTTTACCATTTAAATTCTTTCAGCTACACAAATGAGAACATGTACACTTAGGAAGTCAGGTTTTATTCCCACTCAGTGTCTGGTACAGTGAGCATTATCAAGCAGCAAGAAACACACACACACACACACAATATCGGGGGGTGGGGGGGTGGGGGGGGGAGATGAGGTTTGGCATCCTGGTGTTGATTCTCCCAGGCATAATCGTAGTCCTGGCCTTGCGAGACTGGCAGGCGTTTCCCGGGCAAGGACTCCCAGCAGCAGAAGACTGGGGTCGCCGAGGGTCCCTGAGAGGCCTGGGCGGCCTCGTGCGGGCTCAGCGCCTCGCGCACGGGCGGGACGCCATCAGGGCGATGGGGTCGCTCGTCCCGGCCGCGGGAAGCGGGGCTAGATGTGAGGCGAGCAGCCCCGCGCGCACGCGGCGGCCAGGCAGCGACCC